ATGGAAGATCATGTGTGTCAGAACTGACTAAAAGTACAAGAGACAGAAGGATGTTATAAATATGACTACCAACGCCACACTGCATGGGCTATAAGCAGAATCAACAATTTTTTTGTAAGTCTACAAAGAACCTAATGCTAGCTGGTTGAGGACCTGTGCTCCAACGGGGGATGAAAAGAAAACTAATTCTAATTTAATTACAGAAGTCTTGCCTTTTGACAGTACAACAGTAGCGGCTTTACTGTGGCCAAGGAGGGCCTCCACCATACCCTGCTCGCTGACAGTGCCGTACTTTTTTGCACACTCAAACAAGGCCTCATACATGTCATGGGCCTCTTCGTTGAAACATCTGAAGATAATCCCTCTTGCAGAGATGGCAGCCTGGAAGAGTAAACAATTGTTTACCGTTTTGCTTGCTGCCTTTGTAAGGACTTTCTTAATGTTAAAGGTGTTCATAAAGTCTTACTACACATTGTATGCATAACATATTTGAAAAACCTGCGTACATTTGTCATCAAAACCAACACCCCCCCCAAAAAAGTGCTGGAAAAAGTCACTAAGTTTGTTGCAAAAGTTGGTGCTATGATCTAACGCTGTTTTGGGGAAACTATAAAGTTAAAAAGTAAATATAAAAGGTCTTGGAAATGCCCACCATGGACTTCAGGATATGACTGTACATGTCTCTTCGTATTGTCAAATACCCTCTGCAATATGTCTGTTTTATTTATTAAATGGTATTGTGATTGCTTGTGTTGATAACATCATTCTGTTTTGAGTGCAAATAACTACTCCAGCAGATGACAGCCACTCACTGCATACTGCTTCGTGACTGACTGTGAAGCACATTATTTGATGACGTCAGGTACTTTGTTTCTCAGAATTATTCTGAATACAAAGTGTAGTGAGACCTTACAAACACCCTGTATATTAACAACGGTGTTTTAATCACACTGTGAGCCGGCGTGGTGTAGTGGCTGACGCTCGTCTGTTGGACAAAAGGTACTGGCTCCAAATCCGCACTGTGTGGATTTAGAAAAAGAAAATGTTTTTAAATTAAATTGTGAGTTGGCTTTGCCCAGACTGTAGTCTGTTTGATTTTTTCCCCATAAGGAACATCCAAAAGTGTAGGGCTGCATACTGAGCACTAACAACCAGTGGCTCGAAGGGCCACTATTCAGATGAGAATTGTCCAGGTACACGTCCCAGAAACCCCTTTCAACCGTATGACAGAGTTATATTGGAACAGCTAAAGGTTACGAAGGTTACCTGTAGTCCATTTGGGTTGGGAGACGGTGGCATAGACAACGACTGATTGAGATAGACTTTTCCAATTGTTAAGTGGAAACTGTAACTAACTAACTAACTCATTGGGGCTAACTTACTAGCTTATTAAGTTTAATCCTGTTATTATTTAACTTTATCTTTCATATGTTGTTATTAGGGCTTCAAAAAACTGAACACACTGACATGCTTCGGACTAATTCCATTTTAAATGCACTTTAATTTAACATTCTTGAACACCCCACTCCCCCCCCCCTCTCTCTCTCTCTCTCTCTCTCTCTCTCTCTCTCTCTCTCTATCTCTCTATCTCTCTCTCACTCACACACACAATGGCGTCCCCGGTCAGGTGGTACCCGGTGCGGAAAATTTCATGTCAGCCGCTACACATACACACAATTTTTGTTGTTATGAAACACACATTTTTGCAAAATGTCGCCCCTCAGTGATAACATCTGCCACCCCACCACTCTTTTTCCTAATCCCGCCTGTCCCCCCCCCCTCCCCCTGCGTTATCGTTACTTCAGCTATTCCCGATGCTGACACTGAGGTTTTTGTTTACTCTGCCACAATTAAATACGACGCACAGATCTAGGGACAGTTAAAAGAACAGAACTGTTACACGTCTACAATTTCACCTTAAGAAACAGTTTGTAAGTGTTCTGGTTGCACTTGATGGCCATATCTATCATGTGCCGAATGTTGGGCCACTCCAGCGCCAAGCAGCCATAGACCAGGCCCTTCTTGCCATGCTTCTCCGCCATCTTTGTCTCCACGCGGTTTAGCAGACGACACAGAAAGTCGGTGTATCTGTATAGATGGATGGTTAGTAATGGGTAAACATCAACAAATGAAGTGGTTTTGACACCCAACAAGAATGCCCTGGTATTATCTTCCACAGCGAGCCACACTAAAACGTTACAACGGGTACAGAGCGAGCGAAAGACCTAGGAAATATGGAGTGATGGTATTCAGAACAGCCTAACAGAAATGAACATCAATCCTAATAGTCCTATTGACATAGCTGATCAACGAACATTACATCTCCCCCCGACACTCCATTGAGGTACAATGTGGAAGAGAAGAAGATGAAGAAGTAATGTAATGAGTAATGGGACTTCAAATAAAAACGGTAATTGCAAATAATTTGCTGGCTCTAAAGTCAAGGGTTCAGATCTGATTGTTATAATTGTTCCAGGGCTTCCAAATAAGCCCCCCCCCCCCCCCCCCCCCCCCAAAAAAAAAAAACATAAGCCATGGAAATGTCTTGGGAAGTAAAGTCAGTCGTCATAATGTTGGCCACGCCGAGGGTTGATTGGTCTTATTTGCGAGTCTTCTTCTTCTTCCTCGCATTCACCAGCTGTAAACTCTGGCGAAAAGTTCTGGTTGTTCGTCCACTTCTGGACTGTAGTCCCGTTCCAGAACCTGCGTGTTGCGTGTGCATCTGTTTTACGGATCTGACTCATATGTATGCAGACTGTTGGTTCCTGCCTCTCAGGCAGATGCACTCCGACTTCGAAGAAAGCTCCAAATTAGTCGACTCTTACGACATGCTTTTGGGTAGACAGTGGGCCTATTCTTTTTTTTTCCTCTATAATAGGGCCCCAGGACCCACACGAGGAATCCAAAGAGAAATGTGTGGACTGATCACCAGAGCAAAATTGTGTGGCGGTGACAGAATATATATTGGTCAGAATATACTAGAGAAATCTGGCTTGCCCCATTGGTCACTACAACTATGCATATTGCCACTTTAAAAGTAATGCATTCTTGATTTAGTATCATAATAATTTCGTCTTTTCGGAATCTCCTATGAAACCTTCTGGTACTGAAAGAGTTAAGTCCCCAGGCTCTAGCGTCACTATCATGTGTAGGGGGTGTATGTGCTCGTGGTTGTGCTCGATCTTCATAAAGAGAATGTCAACCTACCCATGAAACAGACAAAGATCAACAATTGGATCCTACCTGTTGCACGATTTGTCATAGCACTGTCCCCGTAGTACCAGTTTCTTTTGGCTGCTGCTTTTGTGGACATAATAGACCAGTAGAGGATGCACCACTAAACGATCTGTCCCTGGTAGAGACCACACGATGTATTTCTGTCGGAGATATCTGATAAGCTTCTGCAACTTTTGTTTGTTGTTCCTGGCAACTGTATACTCTAAATGGTCTGTGGAAACAAATGTATAGGTCTTTGGTTAATTGCGTCTCTAGTCATTCAGTTTGGCTTGCCTTAAAAGTCTTCTTCTTCTTCGCGTTCACCAGTTGTAAAATCTGGCCAAAAGTTCTGGTTGTTCGTCCATGTCTGGACTGTAGTCCTGTTCCAGAAACTGAGAGATTGGCAGGCGAGTGTCTATCCACCACACCACCGGAGCTTTCTAAAGTTCACAAGTACGATATCACTTTTGATGACCACTGATATTCTGCCTTTTCTTCTTCTATGGAAAGATATAAGCCCGAACGAAAAGTATATCAGCAAGCTTCACAATATAACAAACACAAACAAAACGTGAGCGTTGCGGCTATGAAGCCTTCATCGGCACATACACAAATTAGACAATAATACACAAATACAAAATATCACTTATCTTGGTATCTCAAAACAGCCAGGTCGATGTCTAGTCAACAGTGTGGCGGAACACGTGGGAACGCAAATTAAATATCCTTGAAAAAGCCAGTGGCCAGAACTCAAGGACAAGATGAAGCTGTGTAGGCAGTTCAGTTCCCTAAGATTCTAGATGAAGCTGTGTTGGCAGTTTAGTCTACTAGGCGCCAGACTTCCCAAAGTATATATAAAGCGATTTTCAAGAGACTTACGAACTCTGTCGCTGGAATAGCTAGATTTAATGGTTGACACCTCCATGTCGTGAACACCTTGTTGGTCCTGGGAATTGAAATGCAATGGTACTGGTTTCAGGGCACTGTTCTGCACACCCAAAAGATGTTGTCTGAACCTGTCAGCCAGTCGTAAACCTGTTTCGCCGATGTTTTTTACGTCACACCTCTTGCAATTGATGGCGTAAATGACTTAACGGCTCGTGCAGTAGAATGCTTCACGTATGTGGAAGGTTTCATTTGGGAATTCCACCCTGAACCACACATGGACAAGTCCTGCATACAGGTCTGGGACAAGAGACCGTCCCGAAGTGGGACTCAAAGACATGACGTAACCGACTCTTAGAATATCCTCGAGGTTACGGTCATGCCTGTAGGCCACTAAAGTAAGTTCATAGAAAATCCTGCTGGTGCTAGGGACAGCCCTAGGGATGCAGAGATGCTTGAGGGGAATATTTTTGGCGCGAATGTTGTGAGGGTGGTAGGTAAGTGTGAGAATTGGTCTGTTGTGGTGACGTCTAGGCTTAGAAACGAGAGCCTCAGCACGATGAATAGATCGTGCTTGGCGAAAGGTGGCAGATAGGATATGTTCCGGATACCCTAGAAGAAAGAAGAAGTCCAACATTTCCAGGACCTTGTTGTGAAAGTCGTCGTTCTCCTGGCATAATCTGCGGAGGCGTAGAAGCTGGGAGAAAAGAATGGAGTCCTTGCAGCAAGAGGGATGAGAAAACGTGTAGAGAAAAAAGCGTGGGAATCAGTAGGCTTATAGTACACCAAGGTACTGAGGCCTTCAGAATCCACGGTGACAGCGAGGTCCAGAAAAAGCACCGATGAAGGTGAAATGCTGAAATTATAACGGATGCTGGAATGGAAGTTGGAGAAAAATAAATGAAGCTTTGCAATTCAGGGGGGGGATATCGGTGACACCACTGCAATCATCAATATACCTCAGGTAGTGGCATATCAGTGACACCACTGCAATCATCAATATACCTCAGGCAGGGGCATATCAGTGACACCACTGCAATCATCGATATACCTCAGGTAGAGCTCGGGTAGGGGCATATCGGTGACACCACTGCAATCATCAATATACCCCAGGTAGGGGCATATCGGTGACACCACTGCAATCATCAATATACCTCCGGTACGGGCATATCGGTGACACCACTGCAATCATCAATATAGCTCAGGTAGGGCATATCGGTGACGCCACTGCAATCATCAATATACCTCAGGTAGGGGCATATCGGTGACACCACTGCAATCATCAATATACCTCAGGTAGGGGCATATCAGTGACACCACTGCAATCATCAATATACCTCAGGTAGGGGCATATCGGTGACACCACTGCAATCATCAATATACCTCAGGTAGGGGCATTTCGGTGACACCACTGCAATCATCAATATACCTCAGGTAGGGGCATTTCGGTGACACCACTGCAATCATCAATATACCTCAGGTAGGGGCATTTCGGTGACACCACTGCAATCATCAATATACCTCAGGTAGGGGCATTTCGGTGACACCACTGCAATCATCAATATACCTCAGGTAGGGGCATTTCGGTGACACCACTGCAATCATCGATATACTACAGGTAGGGGCATATCAGTGACACCACTGCAATCATATATATATACCTCAGGTAGGTGCATATCGGTGACACCACTGCAATCATCGATATACCTCAGGTAGTGGCATATCAGTGACACCACTGCAATCATTGATATACCTCAGGTAGGGGCATATCGGTGACACCACTGCAATCATCAATATACCTCCGGTACGGGCATATCGGTGACACCACTGCAATCATCAATATAGCTCAGGTAGGGCATATCGGTGACGCCACTGCAATCATCAATATACCTCAGGTAGGGGCATATCGGTGACACCACTGCAATCATCAATATACCTCAGGTAGTGGCATATCAGTGACACCACTGCAATCATCAATATACGTCAGGTAGGGGCATATCGGTGACACCACTGCAATCATCAATATACCTCAGGTAGGGGTATTTCGGTGACACCACTGCAATCATCAATATACCTCAGGTAGGGGCATTTCGGTGACACCACTGCAATCATCAATATACCTCAGGTAGGGGCATTTCGGTGACACCACTGCAATCATCAATATACCTCAGGTAGGGGCATTTCGGTGACACCACTGCAATCATCGATATACCTCAGGTAGTGGCATATCAGTGACACCACTGCAATCATTGATATACCTCAGGTAGGGGCATATCGGTTATACCACTGCAATCATCAATATACCTTAGGTAGGGGCATATCGGTTACACCACTGCAATCATCAATATACCTCGGGTAGGGGCATCGATATACCTCTTGTAGAGCTCAGGTAGGGGCATTTCAGTGACACCACTGCAATCATCAATATACCTCGGGTAGGGGCATCAATAGACCTCTTGTGGAGCTCAGGAAGCCTACCGGTATGGGCTTGATGCATCTAATGCTCGAGGTGGCCAATGAAGAAGCAGGCATATTTATGTCTTCTTCTGTTCTTTTTTTATTGTTCATCTTCTACTGTTTTTCTTCAGTGTTCGACGGCTGTAAACTACAAAGTCCTAGTTCTTCGTCAATAGCCGGACTTTAGTCCTGTTCTAGGACTTGGGGTGTTTCGTGCATATCCGTTGTACAGATCTAAATTATTTGTATTGAGTGTTGGCTTTATGCCTCTCAGGTAGATGAGCTCCTGTCTATGATGGCCAGGCATCCTGTAGGGTACCTGGTCCTAGAACAATCGGGAAAGTTTACGTCCTGGTCCTGGGGCAACGCCACCACAAGAGGCAACGTACTTCTGCATCCAATGGGGCATTCTAAGAGTTACACATCACACACGAAGATAAAGAGCAGGCAGATAGACTGGTCGGTTCTGCACCACATGGTGATGAATAGATGTATGACAAGTTAGATGTTGTCAGGGCACTTTGGGGGCGAATTAATAATGCGGAGGCACAAACAGATTATTACGGTCTGAGTTGAATGACGCTGCGGGGAACCTGGCCGAAGCTCACAACTAAAGAGAAAGGTGAGACGGATATAGAATCAGATACTACCATCGGAATTTTAACTCTTTGTTTGCTGCTGAAGATGGAGACGGAGCGCTTATGGGAGTGTCCCGAGTGCCATGATGTCAATTTTTAATTCAACATTAAACACATCACATACAATGATAAGAACATGTGGGGGGCAATACTGACCTTTGTGGAACGAACTGCCAAAAAACTGACAGAAATGTACAATGCTGGGAAGAACATTTCCTGGCAGCCATGTTTTCACCGAGTCTAGTTGATCTTTAAATAGTTCGGACCAGAACTGGTCATCGTTGGCTATCTTCTCCTCCAGCAAGCTCGGTGCTAGCCTGCGCACTCCATCAGCAAGGTACTTGTCTCCAAAGAGTTTGACAGCGCCAGGCAAAGGAAGCATGTTTAAGCAAATGCTAGCGTAGGGTGACAGACTGGTGTTCTTGGCGTAATCTTGTAGAATGCGGGTGATGTCCCAGTAGTTCAGCATACCAATCTCAACAGTGTGGGTGTTGTGTCCCTTTAACTGAAACCTTTTGCGTGAGGTCAGGAGTATCGTCAGCAGTAACTTGTTTGACAAATGGTCAATCACTCGCCGTAGAAAACCCAAAAACGTTGTTCCTAAGCTGTCTGCTTCAGGAGCTTTGTTTCGTAGCTTGTGGCATTTATGGAAAACAAGAATATGGTGGACGTTTGGAAACTTCAGAAGTGTGGAGGTTAGAACATAAAGTATCTGTTCTTCATTAACTGAAGAGATGGGTGCGGGCTGCGTGTTCAGTGAAATGGCGATCAAGTCCAACACTTCATTCAGACTCGCAGCCGTTTCACACTTGAAATCAATGCGATGAAAATTATCTCGCTCGCCGATGCACTCAGTAGCCTGTGGATGTATATATAAGAATGTGGGTAGCACATTTTCTGTACACAGTGGAAAGTTAAGAGTTAACATTTATTCTGGACACAGTGGAAAGTTAAGAGTTAACATCTATTCCTGACACAGTGGAAAGTTCAGAGTTAACATCTATTCTGGACACAGTGGAAAGTTAAGAGTTAACATCTATTCTGGACACAAAATAATACAAATAGTCTACAGAAATAATACAGTCAACAACAACAACGAATAGTCTACAGAAATAATACAGTCAACAACAACAACGAATAGTCTACAGAAATAATACAGTCAACAACAACACAAATAGTCTACAGAAATAATACAGACAACAACAACAACAAACAGTCTACATAAATAAAACAGTCAACAACAACAAATATTCTACACAAATAATACAGTCAACAACAACAAATATTCTACACAAATAATACAGTCAACAACAACAAATAGTCTACACAAATAAAACAGTCAACAACAACAAATATTCTACACAAATAATACAGTCAACAACAACAAATATTCTACACAAATAAAACAGTCAACAACAACAAATATTCTACACAAATAATACAGTCAACAACAACAAATAGTCTACAGAAATAATACAGACAACAACAACAACAAACAGTCTACATAAATAAAACAGTCAACAACAACAAATATTCTACACAAATAATACAGTCAACAAAAACAAATATTCTACACAAATAATACAGTCAACAACAACAACTAATAGTCTACAGAAATAATACAGACAACAACAACAACAAACAGTCTACATAAATAAAACAGTCAACAACAACAAATATTCTACACAAATAATACAGACAACAACAACAACAAACAGTCTACATAAATAAAACAGTCAACAACAACAGATATTCTACACAAATAATACAGTCAACAACAACAAATAGTCGACAAAAATAATACAGTCAACAACAACAACGCATAGTCTACTTAAATAATACAGACAACAACAACAACAAATAGTGTACAGAAATAATACAGACAGCAACAACAACAAATAGTGTACAGAAATAATACAGTCAACAAAAACAACAAACAGTCTACATAAATAAAACAGTCAACAACAACAAATATTCTACACAAATATTACAGTCAACAACAACAACTAATAGTCTACAGAAATAATACAGACAACAACAACAACAAATAGTCTACACAAATAATACAGTCAACAACAACAACTAATAGTCTACAGAAATAATACAGACAACAACAACAACTAATAGTCTACAGAAATAATACAGACAACAACAACAACAAATAGTCTACATAAATAAAACAGTCAACAACAACAAATATTCTACACAAATAATACAGACAACAACAACAACAAATAGTCTACAGAAATAATACAGACAACAACAACAACTAATAGTCTACAGAAATAATACAGACAACAACAACAACTAATAGTCTACAGAAATAATACAGACAACAACAACAACAAATAGTCTACATAAATAAAACAGTCAACAACAACAGATATTCTACACAAATAATACAGTCAACAACAACAAATAGTCGACAAAAATAATACAGTCAACAACAACAACGCATAGTCCACAGAAATACAGACAACAACAACAACAAATAGTGTACAGAAATAATACAGACAGCAACAACAAAAAACAGTCTACAAAAATAATACAGTCAACAAAAACAAGACGTCGTTGACAGAAAGTACCTGTTGAACTAATGTTGACTTGCCGGACAATGGTGGCCCACACACTTGAATGATGTGTCCAGGGAGAATAGATGTTTTTATTTCCTGTTGTTCATACTTTCTGATCTGAACTAGGCGTTGTTTCGGGTCAGCGGGATCTTTCTGGCTGACTTCAACAAGATCGGTAGCTCTGCAGGAGACACCGGGCCCCAGAGTTGACTTCCTTATGGTATGTGTTGTCTGCAGACCAGGTGAAAATAAATATCTTACCACAGTGACTGCTGCTAAGCAAACAACAGTCAAGTCAAGTGAAGGATTCTTTTTTTACGCCTTCAGGCGTACTGGGCAAATAGGGTTAGACCTATATTTTGTAGACCAATCGGCACTCGGTGGGTGGTGTGGTCAGCATCACGCAGCTGCCTTTAAATCCCAGGTCTGTACCTGGTACCCACTCAAGGCAGTGTCGACCTGGGAGCCAAGATTATTTCTGAAAAAAATTCCGTCAGGAGCCGAACCCATGACTTTCCGGCGGCCCTGAATATCATCATCATCATCATCATGTAGCAGATCCTTTGCAGAACGTCGCTCTCATCAGTCTGCCTAAACGAAACTCGGTCTCTCGCCAGTTCTTCCGCCTCATGTACTTTCATACTCAAGAAGTCACTTATATCCTGTGCCCATCTTTGTGTCCTTTCTGGTACCATGCCTTCTGCTATAATTTTTTTCCAATTTTTTTCATCTAGTCCACATAATAAACCATCTAAGTCGTCCTATAGTGGGATGTAATTTTTCGTTATTTGAAGCCCCACCCTGGCTTTTGCCGGGGAGCCCTGACTATAGCCGGGCCATAAATATGGCCAAACGGCTGAAGGGGGTTTCTGGGACCTCTCCCCGGGTGATCCTCATCCGCATGGTGGCACTGTGTGTCACCGGGTGTTTATCGCTTGTGTGATGTCCTGGTGAAGTACAACAGGCAAGCAAGCATGTAGTCCTAACATCGTGCCTGAAAAAAAAGTACCAGTTCCCACCATAAATTGTCTATACAGAAGCGATGCAAAAAAGGACTCACAAAATATGTCATTGTACTACTACACACCTTTGGGGGCCGCTTGGGCATTGCGGTTAGATACTCGCCTGTAGATTCAAACTCGTGGGTTCAGGTCCCGTCCAACCGGGACTTTTCAAAAGTGACCTCGGCTCCCAGGTCGACCCAGCCTTGAGTGGGTACCTCGTGCAGTGCTGGGAAGTCAAGGCGGCCGGTGTTATGCTGACTACATTACCCACCAAGTGATAATTCGTGTATAAAATAAGGGTTCCTAAAATGTTTCTTCAACATTCATATAAATAGTTAGAACGCAGTCGCCGTGGTGTAGCGGCTAGATGCTCGCATGCCAGTCTAAAGGTCTTGGGTTCGGGTCCTGTCGGAGCCTGACTTTTTTCACAAATGACCTTGGCTCTCAGGTCGACCCAGCCATAAATGGGTACCTGGTACAGTCCTGGGAAGTGATTCTGACCACACCTCCCAACGATTGTTGACTGGTCTATACAGTATAAGTCTAGCCCTATATGCCCAATACGCCTGAAAGGGGGGATGTCTTCTTTTTTTCTTAATACTTAAATGCCCTATATGCCCAATACGCCTAAAAGCGTGGAAAATGATCCTTTCTTTCTTAATACTGATATGCCCTATATGCCCAATACGCTTGGAGGTGTGGAAAAGTGACCTTTACTTACTTAACATACAAACCACAAAGTACCATACAAGGGTCCAGTACTCACCACAGAGTGTCATACAAGGGTCCAGTACTCACCACAGAGTGTCATACAAGGGTCCAGTACTCACCATAAAGTGTCATACAAGGGTCCAGTACTCACCACAGAGTGTCATACAAGGGTCCAGTACTCACCACAGAGTGTCATACAAGGGTCCAGTACTCACCACAGAGTGTTATACAAGGGTCCAGTACTCACCACAGAGTGTTATACAAGGGTCCAGTACTCACCACAGAGTGTCATACAAGGGTCCAGTACTCACCACAAAGTGTCATACAAGGGTCCAGTACTCACCATAAAGTGTCATAAAAGGGTCCAATAGTCACCATAAAGTGTCATACAAGGGTCCAGTACTCACCACAGAGTGTCATACAAGGGTCCAGTACTCACAATAAAGTGTCATACAAGGGTCCAGTAGTCACCATAAAGTGTCATACAAGGGTCCAGTACTCACCATAAAGTGTCATACAAGGGTCCAGTACTCACCATAAAGTGTCATAAAAGGGTCCAGTACTCACCATAAAGTGTCATACAAGGGTCCAGTACTCACCACAAAGTGTCATAAAAGGGTCCAGAACTCACCACGAAGTGTCATAAAAGGGTCCAGAACTCACCACGAAGTGTCATAAAAGGGTCCAGATCTCACCATAAAGTGTTTATTATAAACTGACAACAACAATCCATGCCTGAAATAGAGCGTACTTTTCTTATCCCTTGCCCTCGTTATAATAATGCGGTTGTGCTGACAAGACTGGATCAAGTACTCACCATAACGTGTCTAAATAGGTGTCAGTACTCCCAAAAAGTGTCTAAATAGGTGTCAGTATTCCCATAAAGTGTCTAAATAGGTGTCAGTACTCCCATAAAGTGTCTAAATAGGAGTCAGTACTCACCATAACGTGTCTAAATAAGTGTCAGTACTCCCATAAAGTGTCTAAATAGGTGTCAGAACTCACCATTACGTGTCTAAATAGGTCTCAGTAGTCCCATAAAGTGTCTAAATAGGTGTCAGTACTCCCATAAAGTGTCTAAATAGGAGTCAGTACTCACCATAACGTGTCTAAATAGGTGTCAGTACTCCCATAAAGTGTCTAAATAGGTGTCAGTACTCCCATAAAGTGTCTAAATAGGAGTCAGTACTCACCATAACGTGTCTAAATAGGTGTCAGTACTCCCATAAAGTGTCTAAATAGGTGTCAGTACTCATCATTACGTGTCTAAATAGGTCTCAGTAGTCCCATAAAGTGTCTAAATAGGTGTCAGTACTCCCATAACGTGTCTAAATAGAAGTCAGTAGTCCCATAAAGTGTCTAAATAGGTGTCAGTACTCCCATAACGTGTCTAAATAGAAGTCAGTAGTCCCATAAAGTGTCTAAATAGGTGTCAGTACTCCCATAACGTGTCTAAATAGGTGTCAGTAGTCCCATAACGTGTCTAAATAGGTGTCAGTACTCCCATAACGTGTCTAAATAGGTGTCAGTACTACCATAAAGTGTCTAAGTATGTGTCAGTACTCCCATAATATGTCTAAAAAGGTGTCAGTACTCACCATAACGTGTCTAAATAGGTGTCAGTACTCACCATAACGTGTATAAATAGGTGTCAGTATTCACCATAATGTGTCTAAATAGGTGTCAGTATTCACCATAACGTGTCTAAATAGGTGTCAGTATTCACCATAACGTGTCTAAATAGGTGTCAGTATTCACCATAGCGTGTCTAAATAGGTGTCAATATTCACCATAACGTGTCTAAATAGGTGTTAGTACTCACCATAACGTGTCTAAATAGGTGTCAGTACTCACCATAACGTGTCTAAATAGGTGTCATTATTCACCATAACGTGTCTAAATAGGTGTTAGTACTCACCATAACGTGTCTAAATAGGTGTCTGTACTCACCATAACGTGTCTAAATAGGTGTCAGTACTCACCATAACGTATCTAAATAGGTGTCAGTACCTACCATAATGTATCTAAATAGGTGTCAGTACTCACTATAACGTATCTAAATAGGTGTCAGTACTCATCATAACGTGTCTAAATAGGTGTCAGTACTCACTATAACGTATCTAAATAGGTGACAGTACTCATCATAACATATCTAAATAGGTGTCAGTACTCACCATAACGTATCTAAATATGTGTCAGTACCTACCATAACGTGTCTAAATATGTGTCAGTACTCCCATGAAGTACCTTAACAGAAGCGCTGAAAAAAATGTATGCCTAAAATAGAGCGTAATCTTCTGTTCAAATTGCAGTCGTAATATTTAATTGCGATTGTGCTGACATAACTAGATCAAGTACTCACCATAATGTGTCTAAAAATGCGGCTGTACAGAAGCGCTGTTAAAAAAAAAAAAAAAAGCTGTTGCTTAAAATGGGTACTAATAGTAATACTGTATATACCGTTGCGCACCGCCAGAATTAAAAAAAAAAAAACTGCATTATTCCTTTCATTATATTTACCTAAGACAGTTTTAATACTGATGCGCAAACTATCATAAGCTCATAAGCCCAGAGAGATTGGCCAGGATAAGCTGTGTTGTTCTGGTCGTGTCGCGGTGATTAGATTGCGTTGTTTTCGCTTCCCTCTCGCTTATATATCTGTAGCTACTGTCCGCAGCGAGCAAGGCTGTTGGGAAGAGCCCATTTGTTCCTACACGTCAGCACCAGTTAGTTGTTTACGTGAGATGATGTTACTTTCCGGGAAAACTGAATTTTCCATTAACTTGTGTATGTGATACGAGTCTTAGGCCAATAATATGTCAGAGTAGACGGACGTTAACCCGTTGCATTGCCGCACTCACTACAAGTTACATATCCTTTTCTCTGTCTGCAGTTAATATTGTATCATCCACCTGTTTTAAATATAGGCCGATCCATCCATCCATCTACCATTCCATTCATCCACGAATACAGTCATCCATCATTCCACCCATCCGTCTACCCACCCATCTATCCCACGACCCACTCATCCATTCACTCCACCATCCACTCATGCCCTTTTCCCATCTATCCTTCCATCGCTCCTTTATATTCTGTTTTCTATCTATCTATCTATCTATCTATCTATCTATCTATCTATCTATCTATCTATCTATCTATCTATCTATCTATCTATCTATCTATCTATCTATCTATCTATCTATCTATCTATCTATCTATCTATCTATCTATCTAATCTATCTATCTATCTATCTATCTATCTATCTATCTATCTATCTATCTATCTATCTATCTATCTATCTATCTATCTATCTATCTATCTATCTATCTATCTATCTATCTATCTATCTATCTATCTATCTATCTATCTATCTATCTATCTATCTATCTATCTATCTATCTATCTATATATCTATCTATCTATCTATCTATCTATCTATCTATCCATCCATCTATCCATCTATCTTTCCATCCATCCATCCATCCATCCATCCATCCATCCATCCATCCATCCAT